CAAAGAGCAAAATGATTATTTGGACTCACCGTCTCCAAAATTCCAGATTTCAAGACAACACATTTATATCACAGGATCCTACGCATGCGATCATCATAACTGCCGGAACGGGATTCAGACAAGGCTGGGTAGTCAGATCTGTTCCAGCCGTTCTGGCTGTTCGCGACACACACACACGCACGCACACTCACGCACACACGCGCGTGGCGTACGCACACAAATACTTCTCAAATAAATTATTCTGTATATGAAGGTTTTTCTTATTTTTGCTATTTTGAAACAAACTTGGAGTATGGTCTATTCAATTCAAACTCTCAAATATTGAAAAAAAGAAGAAAAAGTAGAATTGTAAATTTTATGCACACACATAGTTGACCGTCTGCATTGTTATTTTCGCATAATATAATTTTCAACGTTTATCCAGATTTGTTTACCTTTAGTTTTAAAGCAACAATTAATACAAATACAAAGTGAAAAGTCTTTCAAATTTAACAACAAAATGCATAAGGAAAATGTTATATATGATGATGATGATGATGATAATAATAATAATAATAATAATAATAATAATAATAATAATAATAATAATAATAATAATAATAATTATAATAATAATAGTAATGATTATAATAATAATGAACATAAAGGCCAACTGGTAATGCTTGAATATGGAATTAACCGGACAATGCAAATCGGTAGAAGATTATAAGAATGGAGTTAATGCCTTACGTTATGAAGTGATCAAAATAAAGACACACCATGTACTATAAGAATAATATTAAATATGTGGATTAATATCTGCGTACGAACGAGGACACATTTGAAAGCCGACACCGCAGTTCGGGTACTTTATTTAGTCCGAGGATTTCTACAAAACAATGGGGACATGTGTAACTAGCAGGGGTTTGAAATTAAAGTTATGAGTAGTGAGGCATATATAACTACGTGTTTGAAACAAAGAAAGAAAGTAGTGTGGCTGAAAGTATTGGGGGTTTGAAAAATAAGGATTTAACTCATTACAGGATTGGAGCAGTACCTCTAGACGCTTGCAAAATGCATGATCACAAAATTGACAAATATAATTTTTTTCGCCGATTATTACATACATAAATTGGTGTGAAAATAAGAATTAGACCTTTTAAAGTTCATTCCGTTGGGTAAAAAGGCAAGATTCAAGCGCCTTGTCCGGAATATACCGGAGTACAGTATTTAGTGTGGTGCTCGAACTCTTTCGAAAAATAAAGATAGGAGTAATCTTGCAGAAAGTTGTGGGGCATTAGAAAAGTATGTGTGTGATAAGATAATATTTATAAAGAATTGATGCAAACAAAAAGATTGTTTACTGTACAATTTATTGGCGATTTACAGTTTCCTATCTATCTTTATGTGATTTGTTTATAAAATTATCGTCTGAATACACGCGCAGTTCATTTATCGATTATTATCTCAGTGTCTCGTATCTGTCCTAGTGGGACACGTTTTATAACATAGGTCAGCATGACACTATGAAAATATTGAACTTATAAAAGTTTATTGTTTTCGTTGTCAGAAAAGTTTATGAAGACTTTATCCTTTTGACATATTTTAACATTTGTTTTTACACACTGCAATCACGCGAAGACATCGTGCTAGCAACATCTGATTTAAGCCAGAATAAACTTTATTATTTGAACAATAAGTGGGTGTTGTAAATCACATAATTTTAGTATGCTACTGATAATCTGGTCTTAGAAAAAAATTGAAACCTTTGTAATGAGATATAAATATGGTAATGTAATCGGAAAATAATGCCTTAATTGCACATAAAATGTTCAGTGATATCCTAAGTATGTATGTAGTATATGCTCAATAAAGGTTCATCCGTCCTTTAAGTCACAAAAGGCGAGCTTATAGTACCCTTATATTATGTTACCCGCCGATCAGATCTTCTCGGCATTTTCCGTCAAACATCGCATAACAGAACAATAAACTCCGTTTATAACGATATGAAGGACACAGTCGATTTTTTATCCGGTAATCGTTATATCGGATCGTCAACCAATGTGAAAACAGAATTCGGACCGCGGCAACAGGTATTTATTGTAAAATGAATAATTGTCGAGGTGTTCCAATTGGATACCCGCTCATGCTTCTTTTTGTAGTTGTTGTTGTTTGTTTAAGTGTTGTATTGTGATGTGAACACCCGTGAAAAGCATGTCAAACATATTGTAATGTGAAAATTTTGCGATGCCACAGGTCTCCAACCAGAATGCTATCCAAATTATTTACTAGCTTGAAAACTCAGGTAGTGTCATAGAATAAAACGGTCCTCTTATCTGACATTTAAATTATGTCAGGTAACATGTGTAAGGGCCGGGTAACAGGTGTAAGGGTCAGGCGTATAAATTCCAACGCATAGAAAAGAAATTTAAGATCAATACATACTCATTAAAATTATATGATAGATAGCGTCTGTCACGCAGCTATTCCATTTCTGACAGGTTTTTTTATCACAACTTTTTACGCCTGATAAACGAGAGCTACCTCTTTCGGAAGTATATTGTATATTGCTCTATCGCTACTTCCGAGCTAGTGCATGTCGCTAAAATTTTAAGGTTGATTTTTATAATTGTACTAAATTTTCATTAAAAAACACGAATGTTTTTTTTCTGAGGCATGTTTGCTTTAAGATATAGCATATACAGCGTTTTGCTTTATATAATTTTGAACATATATTAATGAAGTTAAAAAACTTTCCCACCGCAGAGGAAATATGTCATGTGTAAATGTTTTACTTTTTTTCTCATGCTTTGTCTAAGGAGACCATTTCGTTAAGCGACCTTTTAGGTGTTTCCCTTGCGCGTCGCTTAATACACGTTTGACTGTAAATGACAGGAATACCTTATAATTCAAGAGTTCTCATAATATGTCATTTACCAAATCAAAAAGAGTTTTATGGCAGATTTGGTGATACATTGGTAAGGCGCTTGAAACATTTTGATGGCTATTGGAAGTATGGAAAAAAGAACACCGGCACTGCATTGTAATGCTCAAGTTTTCGCCAGCGTCTCAAACTAAACTATAAAATGGATTGGATTTTAGATATTTGTATTGTGGTTCGTTACTGCAAAGGGTTGTTTATGTAATAACCGGTTACGGGTATGAATGTTTCTATTGTATGAAAAAATGGAGCTATTGCCATGACCCACTTGGTGGCGCCGTCGTTGGTAAACCTTTTTACGCTTCTGCAACCTCTGTGGTGCATTGCATATAGCAATTGACGTGTGTTTGTTATAAGTGTTTGTAAGTTAGTTAATTATTCAGAACTGACAAGAGTTAAATATACGCTTTAAAAGTGAAACCCTCAAAATTCATTCTCAAACACTATAACGAAACAGATATTTAGCATGTAGCATCACCCTGTGGTCATCTACTAAATTTATATAAATCATGATCTTGGATTAAATTTGGCCTGGCTATGGGGTCATATAATTAAAATAGACATATAGTACATGTGTAAACAATTTAAGTCTTCTTGTGTGCCGAACTTAAATATTTAACATAAATTATTTCCAAATCAATGTCTGCAACTGTTTAATAAATTATGCAGTTGGTGGTATAAAATGACACATTTATTGTGTACTAGCTTTGTACTTCTGCATTTAAGAGTTGTGGCCCTTTCTATCTCTATATCTGCGGTGAGCAAACCAATGCCATATTATTGTCATCTTATCATACACCCGAAACAAATGTCGACGTAAAATGTTATGCATCTGGTCGTCCGTCAATCTGTTTGCAGTTTTCTGCCCGGGTTGTATCTTTTGAACTGGTGGAAGGAAATTAAAAATACTTGGTAGAAATGTTAACCGTGAGACGAAATGCAGAGCGCAGATTTGACCTTTCTCAGGTCAATGTCATTTTTGTAAAATAATTCCTGTCCGCTCTGTATCTTTTGAACCGATAGAAAGAAATTAAATCTTTATCTTTTTGGCAGCTATATTACCTAGACTCTTTAATGAATGCAGATGTGCAGTGCGTAGGTTTGGACTTCCTGAGATCAAATGATTGCCTTTTCATTGGGGAAACTTTGTTTACATAGAGTTATATATAAAATACTTCAAAAAGAGTCTTCTCTGAAACTGGTTTACCTGAAAAACGTTGTCAAAACGTTGTGCTTTTTAATGCAACAAAAGAATTTTAAAACTAAACAGGATTTGCTTTCTATATTCTCACACTTCTGAATTTAAATGCCTAAAGTATGGATATTTTGCATGAAACATCACCATGCGGTCCATAATAAAAGTTATATAAATAATGTTCCGGGCCCCGAGTGTCATTTAGTTTATTTAGACTTATATGGTAAATATGTCTCATAAATCTTTAAAAAATCTTAACTTAAAATACCTAGAACATTTTGGGTGCCGGATGATGCCGCATCAACTTGAGGTTTTCTACAAATCTTGTAAATTATACCGCAGGGATTAAAATTGACATCACCATGGGGTCGCTTAGTTTGTATAGACTTACATTATATTAAACACATTTTAGTCTTCTTGTGTGAATTAACTAGTTATTTGGTATGCAGCATTTCGTAGCAAATGTGAGTCAGTGTTTGATATGACTTCATAAATAGATATATCTAGTTTTAAAGAAGTGCAATGAATGAGCACAGTAACTGCAAAAGGAAGTTTGCCTTTTTTCCTCAGAGGTATGACCAAAAATGTATTGGTTGTAACTTCAAAGATAAATAGATTTCATTGAGGAAAAGTGTGGTGTACAAGACCAATAACTCTATTGCATAGTTTTGGAGGAATTGTTCTTTGTAACTTTGTATTCTTGACTTATGTATTTGGCTCAATTGCAAAAGTATAGCAGGTATCTAAACAGGTATTCAAGCTTTATTTATTGGTAAATTACTTAAACTTCTTTAAGAGAGATAACCTGTACACTAAATGACAGATTTGTTTAAATTATTTAATTATTTTTGTGTATATTAAGAACTTTTACCCACACAAACAAGCCTCAGTTAACGTTTATTCTCCATACAACTAACCTGTTTTATGGAAATTGAAACTGTTATTTCTATGAAGCCTTGAATTAGATACTTAAATAATGGTCTCTTAACATCACTTCTGTAAATAATTTCAACACTTCAATTTTAAAAGGAAAGAGCTGACAAACCAAAATAAACATATGTATATTTTGTCGATCATTTAACTATGTTCAGAAAACTTTCCTAAGTCTGTAAAGTACTAGTATGTTCAAAGCAATCCTAACTGCCTCATGGTAATTCAATAAAAGTACGACTTTAAATTGTTTTTGATCGGTCATCATAACCATAGTTATCCAATATGAAAGATAATCAGAGTCTATTTTGCATTTATTTTAAAAACTGATCGTGTGCCAGATTATTGCAAAATATGTTACAAATATCAGTGGAAACCTTTGAAAAGAAATAATTTACATGAGCGTAATAATTTTAGTATCTACGATAGATTCTTTTAAATGTCCTAAGAAACCTGCAAAATCAAACAATTTTCTTACTCTATTTGTTGAATATATCCGAAAAAAATATTGACAGTGTATTGTAAAAAAAATGTATAAATACTTTGCAAATATCTAACACTTTTGAATGATTGTGCGAATTTTCAAAAAATAAAAAATAAAAATAAAACAAAGTCAGAGGCATGTTTTAAAAACATGTATAAATCGTTGCCATGGTTAAGTTCGCGTGTTGATAATGTTACATCGGTACCCTCGCACATTCAGTTGATCCCGTGCCAGTTGTAGTTGTACCAGGCGGGCACTGTTTGCAAGTTGATTGTCCTGAAAGCTTTTGGTAATAGCCACTTTTACATTCTGTACAATAAGAGACTACCCCGTCACTGTATGTACCAGGAGGACATGCCACTGAAGTTGAAATAATTAAAAGAATATTTGACTACAAAAATAACTTTTTTTATTATATGTAAGGGAAACACACCCTTTTATGCCAGCGCAGCATCTGCGATGCGGTGGCATATAGCGATGCACGTGGACCTCTACCAAGAGTGTTAAAATAATAGCCCTGGGGATAAAATTTGCACCGCCAACACGGTAATGTGATTTCTTTGTATGTATATAGTAAAATGTTTAAAGAAACTACAGCGCAATTGGCATGAAACATTGTGTAGTGAACCTCTATTAAGATTATTCGAATTACAGCTTTATGGTCAAAATTCGCCCTGCCCTTGGAGGTCATGGCTTTTCTTCTAATCATTCCCTTGCTATAAAATAGTCTAACTCATGAGTTAAATAATGAAAGCGAAACAACTCATATTGCAGGTGTACATGTTATGCAAATTTAGAAATGAAGAAAAGAAGAAAAAAAATTCAATAGCTGAAAGTTAGTTTTAAGGTCATGACCTTTAGCAAAAGTGATATTTGCTTTCAAGATATATTTATGAAATGATTTGTGCACATTATAAGGACATTACGTTTGAAAAAAAATGTACACCTTTTTCTGATAAAGGAAGGTTACATAGATACGTTTACATATTATGAATTGTCTCTAATGTTGCTTTTAAATCATTAATTGTTCTTTGCTGATTTTTGTTAAGAAAAAAAAATAGTTAAAAAAATAAAAATAATAATAGTACCAAAGAAAAATAATTTTTACAGTATTTCAAAGTTGAATACAGCTAAGTTAATATCTAAATTTGTATCCAGTAATAATACTTTTATTTTGAATCAATGATTATATTATTACCTATATACACAATTGTCTTTCATTTGACACGCTGAAATATAAGCTTGGCCCCCAAATTCACTAGACACTACTGCACAATGGCGAAGATCAATTGTAAAGAAACAAAAATGATCTACTTCTGCTCCTTCTTTTTAGTGTTGTATTAATGCGGTGGCACAGCATTTTTTTCACAAACGCAAGCTTGTTATAGTTTAATTGCAAATTGTAGTTTTTTCATTAAATTTTTTCTTAATTTTACAGGAATAGTATAACAAAAACAGCTATTCAAAGGACAGTTTGCTACAGTTCCTTTGTTAAAGATGATTTATTCTAAGGGGGCATATGTCGGTGTCTGAGTGTATTTTAATACCGTTTACGCGTCAGCATTTTCTGAAATTCCATAAAAATGTGACCATACCACAGAACATTTCTATAGGAGCTGACCCCCGGAACGCATATGCATTTTTGTTTCATGAGCTCAGCATCTGTTCCCCTCCAGAAAGTGAAAAGTTGATTGGTTCATCTATTACTACGTGAAAAATGCGCAGGTTGTTCACAACGAATGTTGCCGATGTTTCTATTGCAATCGCGCGTTGCTCCAAAAATCACTAAACTTGTGGTGAAGCTTCCAAAACAAATCAGAAAAATCAAAAATGAATTTGTGGGTGGGGGTTCTACCTTATTTAGTGGTATTTCTTTATTTATGACATAATTAACCTGTGTTTTTACAATAGTGAAATATATTCATATGATTCAATTTGACATATTCAATATATTTATGAAATGGTTGCGCATTCCTGTAAAGCTAAAAGATTTGTCTTTATTAAAAAAAACAACAACAACAAAAAAAAAACACAAAAAAAAAACCAAAAAACAGAATTGTGTCCATATGACACGGGTTCCGCCACATTCCACCGTTTTATCAATCTACTGACTTTAGGTCAAATATATGCACGAACAAGTTGAAAATTGCAAATTTATAGTAAGAAAATGGCAATAACTCTAACAAAGCTGAAAAAACATGCAAAACCCAAGGTGCACAGCTTCACATGTTAACATCCCTGTAAGTTTGTTGATTCTAGCCCAAGCAAGTTTACATGTTCATATAATGCAGCATTTTGGAACGGTTTTTACTTGGCTATGCGCGACACAAGATGAAAATTGCAAAAGTTTAACTAAGTCAAGGACAAAAACTTTACAAATAATGAATAAATCCAAAAATTAATCTCCAGATGCAAAATCAACATGCTTACTTATATTTCTGTAAAGTGTCATGACTCAAATCCTTTTAAGCTACACACGATACAAATTAAAAATTGTCCATTTTTAAGGGCAATTACTCTGACAAAATTGAATCAATCAACACACAAAACCCCACATGCACAGTTTCACATGCTGAAAAAACTTGTTTAAAAATTTTGTTGACTTTTGAAAGGGTTTAAACTTGGGGGAAACATAAAAAGGGGGACGATAAAGGGGAAAATAAAAATGCACAAAAATTGGGTAAGATGCTTTAAAATGGGGGATTGAATAGATTTTTTTTGAATTTTAAAATTTTTTTTTCGGAAATTCTCTAAAATTTAATCCAAAAAAATTTAACTCAGATAATGAAAAATGTTGTTTTTGGCTGCATATCATAATGCAATTTCTAATTTAATTATTGTTTATTTTAAAAAAAAAATAATAATTTTTACTTTGAAAAAGCGGCCTGTAGTAAGACATATTTGGTGGTTTGTTGTAAAAAAGGCTTTAAAAAACATAAAAAAATAAACATAAAAGGGGGACATTAACCAACTTAATCTTAATAATTTGGGGGTGTTTTTTAAATGTCATTAATTAAAAATTTTAAAAAACAATTTTACTTACTTGCCCCATTTTTTTTTTACTTTTGAACCCCAGTTGTGTTTTTCAGGTGCTTTAGTTTTTACAAAACTGACACAATGTGCAAAGAATGTTACATTTGGGGGAGACGTCAGTTTTGCAGTTGCTTCAAAGCTTTTAACTTTTAAAAAATTTTATTAAGTTTCCTTTAAGAGATCTTATTTTAACGGGGGTAAAGGGATGTTGATAATGTCCTTCAAAGGTTACACCTATTTTTTTGGTATTTTATTTTCGGGAAAAACATTTGGGAAATTTTTTGAAACGTGTCTTCCATGCATAAAAAACTAAATTATTCTTTTTTAAAAAACCCTCAAAAAGACTTTATTTGCTTGATATACGAGTATTTTTGAATTTTCAGCCCAATTTTCTTTCACTTGTTTTTTCTTTCACTTTTTTTAAATTTTTAAACATAGATATTGGAAGGGCTTTTTTTTCAGCGTCATTTTTAAGTAAACCCTTTTTTAATTTTAAAGGAAAAATGTTACAAATAACTAATTGTTTATAACATTTGTAACAATTTAATTTTTCCCCAGGGTTCTTAAAGTAGCTTTGATTTTTAGTTTGATCGAAATATTTTGCTTAATAAAACAATTTTAAAAAATTTAAATTTAACAAAATTTTGACTCGCTGAAATAAGGAAAAAATACTGTTTAAAAAGAAAAAAAAAAGAACCTGTGCATTGGGGAAGCCTTGAGTGGGTTATTTTTGGTTTTTAAAATTTTCCATTTTAACCGGGGGGAAACTCCACATTCATAGTAGGGGGAAAAGGGGGAATCGGAAAAATAAAAAAATCTCACTAAAAAAACTTACGTCATGTTTTAAATTAGTAGTTGTATTAAAGTTATTTTTTAAATTTCCATTGGCAATTTTTTAAAGGGGAAGACACTCTGAAAAAAATTTTCGATTTTTGGTTTTTGGTTTTTGTTTTTTTTGGTTAAACACTTTATAGGGTTTATGGGACTTTCGGTTTTGGGGTAAGGTTTTCTTTGGGTTTTTCAGGCCCAGCGGGCAAGAAGAATCCATTTCCCATTACTAATGAAATTTTTACATGTTTTTAAAAAAAATTTCCTTTGGATTCGAACCAAAAAGGGGGGAAGGGCAATGGTTTGAAGGCAAAGACCTTACCACTTGGCAGGGGGACGCTCCGTTTTTTTTCCCTTATTTGTGCTTTGATTCAAAAGAAAAATTGTTTTTTTAAAACCATTTCGAGCTACAACATCATGTTGTTCTTGTGTTTGTCCTCCTTTGTTTTTCATAAGCCTGACGGGTTCATTTCAAATGAATTTATATGAACAACTATGTGATTCAATCTTATTATTAAACGTTTATGTTTATATTTTACAAGCGAAAGAAACGATAACCATTTCTTCTGAATCATATCTATCTATTATAATTAAAACATTGTATACTGTCTGTAGTGGGATTCAAATGTACCAATGCACTTTATACAAAATATGTATTGTCATATGAAAGAATCAAGGTTTTCATTTCGCAAATGTTGCCGTATTAACATGTTATCTTGAAAGAACCAGCGCAAAGGAAAAAACATTTTCTTATGTTTATGTCACATTTACCTGGACAGGTTTCCATTTTACACATTCTTGTTTCAGTGCTATTCCCGTTACAGTCCTTGCCTTGTGCATTAGGTGGTGGGCTGTCACATCTTCTTGTCCGTGCCTGTATACCATTAGCACAGGTTTTTGAACAACCCGTCCAACCAGACCAATCAGACCACGCTCCGTCAACTTATTATATGTAAGTAAGTCAGTTATGTGTGTCAAGAAATAAGTAAGGCAAAACTGAATTACAAAGAATTACATATAGCACTAAAATCAAATTTTAAAAGTAGTAACCACAATTCTAATGTGTTTTCGATACTTAGTTTTTAAAGCTTAAATAGAAAACCAACCAAATAATGAGTTTTGAAAATAAAAGTTTATAATCCTCACCTGCTCTTACTTGACAATAAGCTCCACTATATCCATTAGGGCACTGACATGAATAATTGGAATTCCCCATTACACATGTTGCATTGTTCTGGCACAAGCTTTGTTCGCAACGGTCGATTAGAATATCACATTGACTGCCAGTGAATCCCTTTTCACACTCACACTTGAATCCACCACGTATATTTATACACTTGTGGGTACCACATGGGGAATTTGCACATTCGTCCACATCTACAAGAGGAATGTTTGAATAACTTTAACGTCATTTAAATGTGTGTTTCTTTTGTTTTATTTGGTTTTACGGCGAAGCCAACACAGTTATACGAAAACTAACAAAAACATTGCATAACTAAAGGCACGGGTCCATGATTGTGAATGAACCGAGACGAAATTTTTGTTTTAATAAGAATAAAGTTACGGCAGCAATGTAGGTTATTGCATGATTAAGTCCATCAATACTGATCAATTTGAGCAATAAAATAGAGATGTTCATCGTTTAATTTCTAAAACAAAAAAAGAAGAAGAAGACATGTGACAGTAGCCTCCTACCAATCTATGACTTCAAATTGGAATTTAAATTAATGCATACCATCACAGACAGAGGGAATGATAATTTGAGCAAGCCCAGTTTCAACAATGTCATCCATAGACATTATCTCGCAAGACTGAGTTATGTTTGGTTTGCAAGTTGATGACCAGCTCGAAATCTCTGACGTAGTCGCTATTCTAGGAATTACTTTGAACGAAGAAACTTTCATATCTGAACGTAGAGCAATAGAGAAACAGCAACCAAAATTCTTATTAAGATAAACTTACATCTTACAAACTGAATATACTTGTATATTTATTAACACAATGAGATAGGAATGCAACAAATTTTGATAACATATACACTACAATACTTTATTAACTTAATTTCTGGTTTCATTTTTCAGACTATAATTGACTATTTATCAAAGATAAATTTAAAACAAATTATTAATCATTTGTAAATTGTTTTGAATTGCGGTATTTCTTTCTTCAAAAACAAAACGAAAATTCAAAGATCTTGTTTGCAATTTTACGAGGCTTCTCGGGATATTTGTGCTAATAAGTTAACATAAAATGGTTTTAACAATAAAAAATTACATTGTGGCACCAGTTTATGTAATTTAAATTTCAAATTTGTAAAATATAAAAAAAAGTTTGGCAGTCAAAAAAAAAAACAACACTGTTAGACAACGTAAAACAGAGCTGGGTGATTCAAAGGTGTCAAATATATTTTTTTTTTCATTTTTTTTTGTCTTTATTACCTTTCAAGAATTATTTGAAATATATTTGTCAATAGTCTTACCTCCATAAAATTCGAGTGATTTATTTAGGATAAATAAACGCACCTTCTTCACAACTGAAAGAAGAAATCATGCCTTACACAACTGTTTTATCATATTTTTTATGATCTTTTACAGGTGTGTTGAGTCAGTCTTGAACAAGATTTTGTCGAATACAAACGTATTTTTGCGCTCTTAAAAAATTCAAAAGTTCAAAATGGGCAAGGAAAAGAACAGATATAAGTGCACGGTATGTAGGATAAGGTGAAAAAATTGACGCTGCACCTTAAACGCCTCATACACCAACTCATGATTCAACCTCGGCTCACACACCAACTCCAGAGTCGACTTTGGCACCAGAGGCTTAACCAGTAGACAAGAAGGCTTTGTTGGATATCCCGTTAAGATGCCGATTGCTTGACTGCTGGGGCGAGTACATGACCACGGATTCCGGGGGTAGTGTAACTGTAGATACGTCAAGGGAGAAGGTGGTGAGGAAATACCTCAGATTTAACGAGATACTTAAGAGGCCGGAGAAGATACTGGAATGTTCCCATGTGAATCATCTGGTGGACTACTTTCTAGTACTAAGAAGAGTCACGGTCCTTTCTGGAAATCCAGAGTTGTGAATTTCGTCGGAAAGTTCATAGGCTATAGGAGGAGAGGAATCTGGTGCCGGCATTCTCCTCTGTCGCCTACAGACTAAGGGTCAATGGCATCACACTGACACTTAGCAAGAGGAAAACAAAATGTAGAGTGCGAAGTCAGACGAAGAAGCGGAAGACCTTTAAAAAAGTTAATATTTCAGACTTTTTCCAGCACGCCTATGGAAGAGACAATATTAAAAGTCGATGGTGTAAAATTTGCAAATTATGCTACAGGCAGGAAATTTTTAATAGCCAGCAAGCTTCTCAATTCTGGGGCACGGACAGGGGCGGTAGCCAATCGAGAGGTTCGAGAGGTTTTTGATGCAGAGAAGATAGTCTACGGTGAAGGTCAATGCAGAAAGACGTGCCACGTGGTCTGCATTAGCAACCACAAGGCGGCATACCAAGGGCCGGTGCAGGTACCTTTGACACAATATACTTGTTATTATAATTATTTGATAAAATAGGAGTAAAAACAATCATTTTGCTGAATGCTATTTTTTGTTTCTTAACAATAATTAAACAGAAAATATTTCTAATAAGGGTGATATTATAGTTATTTCAGAGGTTCCACAATGAAAAAAGTAATATCCAAACTTAAGTACAGAAAAGTGGACATAACTCGTTTACTGTACGATAAGTGTTGTTGTTGTTTCCTTTAAAGTTTGCATGCATGTGCCCTTTAAGGCATATATTTGACCTATGTTGTCCATTTTTCAGTTCTTTATAGTTTCCATTAGGATGCTTATATCTTAGTTTGTTTCGCTTATGTCTATACTACAGCAATTAGAACACCGCGAGTCGAATGTGTCGCCTTGTGAACAGTATAGCTGTCACTTAGGCATTTTCTTTTTAAATATAGGTTATTTATAACACCACTCTTACAATGTACATGTACCTTGAACTTTAGTATCCATAAGAATGGTCATACCTTAATTTGTTTCGCTAATGTCTACACTACAGCAACTAGAACTCCGCGAGTCGGATGTGTCGCCTTGTGAATAGTATAGCTGTCACTTAGGCATTTTCTTCTTAAATATAGGTTATTTATAAACACCACTCTTACAATGTACATGTACCTTGAACTTTAGTGGCATTTGAACTGATTGTAACCAGGATTGATGTAGCTCGTGTAGGAGAATTGGCCCAGACAAAAATAAAGTATAATAATTAATAAAGGGTAATAATTAAAAAAATAAGAAGTGCAGAGTACCAATTTTTGTGCAGTGCACTCTTCTTAATGAGATCTATCATCCTATGAAGTTTCAAGTGCAAAGCCTTTATATTTTAGAAGAAATGGCCCGGACAAAAATAAAGTATGAAAATTAACAAAGGGCAATAACTCAAAAATGAAAAATGCAGAGTCATGGTTCTTGTGCACTGCACTTTTAATTATAGAGATTCAACATCCTTTCCTATAAAGTTTCAAGTTCATAGCATTTTAAGTTAAGGAAAAATGACCCAGACAAAAATAAAGTATGAAAATTAACAAAGGGCAATAACTCAGAAATTAAGAGACACATAGTAACAATTCTTGTGCACTGCACTGTTGGTCGTTGAAAGAAGCATGCATACCAAGTTTAGAGTCAATCCAACTTATAGTGACTGAGTTATGCTCCGGACAAGCCTCTGGGGACGCCGACAACGACGCCGACGCCCGCTGGCAAAAGTAACCCCCTATATGTCGCATTTTTTACAGCGACACAATAAAACCCGTTTAACATCCCAAAACGTTATCAAACGGCCTACTCGTAAACAGGAAAAGGAAGATTTAGTCTTTCTCCAGATGTGCATATAGACCCGACAGAGCTACCCGTTGGCAGTAACGACAATAACATAGATAACATCAAAGGATCTTGGCGACATGCCTGAATAGCTACCAGACATAACATTGACATCTTGAATAACATTTTACTTTATTGAGTATATTCGTGATAGGTAAAGAAAAGGTGCATCATTCCATCACGCCCCATAGCACCGGTTATAGCATTATTCTTTTTTCAACACTCAATGTTTTTATTTGTGCCTTGTGGAGGCCGTAAAAAGTCGCCTTGTGCATATAATCAATATAATCAATCATATTTTTGATCCGCACGACTTTATTGATGTGTGTGGTATATTTTGTTTCCATCTATTTGACTTTTTTCAACTTGGGTGGTTCCAATATTCCTTCTTCTGTACTGTTACTTCTTTTATATTTGTCTTTAGACGTCATATCTGTGTTTTGCAGGCTTCAGAACATCTGAAATCTTTTCGATATTCTTTTTGTTAAGTTTCATTCCTTCTGATCTCTTTTAGGGCATACGCTTTTTACTGGCGGACCATACGCCACATTTCATGAAATGGAATGCCACGAAAGTGTGACATTGAAGGTTTAAAATAACCACCGTATATAAACATCTGCGGATGTTTCTAATTTCAAAATTGACTATTTTCATGTTTAAATTGAAGCTCATAAATTATATCTTAAAGATTTTAAGTTTCGATCTTAGGACAAGCTTGTTTGAAATACAACTTCAATAGGAAATCCTACTGTTGTGACTTTCAAGTTTGATTTTGAGCCAGCTGTATTATTAGAATTCTTTATATAGAAGCTCGCTCAATATTCAACTCCAGCACAAAAATAAGTTTTTTAAAAAAATTTTCGACTAAGATCTTCGAGCTGGCTTGAACTTTAACATCATCTCGAAATTCTATAAGTTTTATAAGATTTTGAATTTTGATGTTCGAGTTGGTTCAATTCCAGCACAAATTCTACCTTAATTAGTTTATCTAGATATTTTGAATTTCGATTTTCAGGCTAGTTCGAAATGAAATTAAATAGTCTTTGAATTCCGGCCCTCCAGATGGCTTGAAATTCAACTCTAGTACGAAATTCAGCTTTGAACTATTTTGAAATTCGATCTTTAAGATGGCTTGAAAAATACAGCCTTTAAAATATTAAATTCTGATGTTTGAGCCGTTTCGAACTCTAGAAATCTATCTAAATGATATATTTGTACATCGATATTTGAGCTGGCTTGAAATTCACTTCAGCTAAAAATTAAGCTTTAAATGATAATTAAATTTGATCTTAGAGCTGGCTCGAAATTTAGAATCAACTCGTTATTGAAGAGTGTCGACCTCCTGCGAGCTTGGTCGAAGTTTAAATCTAGCTCGAAATTCGCTATAAACTTATTCGGACTCCGATCTCCTTTTGATGTGAATGCTATCGTCTCGTTGAGGTAATATTTTTAATTTTTTAATTGAATAGCACTATAACAGAAAGCAACATTAATATTATAGACATAGCAGGATCAGTTCAGTAAATTATCAGAAATATAACATCTAGACAAAAAGAATACAGAGTGACTGATAAATAGATAACGAATGAAATATATTGATAAAAGTTTTTTTAAATTGGAACATATGAGTTCATTGAACCACTTTTGTCTTAAAAAAGAAAGAAAAAACTTGAAATACCGCGATAACCAAGCTAACTTTGAAACTTAACTTCCTTATCAAAATGTCAGTGCACATGTCGCAAAGAGACAGTCGATAAATATTCAAGATCTAGGTTGCATGTTAAAGGTTTATCGTAACGTTTTGAAGAAAAAAAGAAGATAAATAACACGGATCAATTCGATTAAGTATAACATTTATCTTAAATCAGTACAGTCAGAAATTATTCTCAAATATCAAGTTTTACTTTTTTTTCATAATGCTTATTTTTTTCCAAACCAATGTAAAGAGTCCCTTTTTGGCACCTACAAAATTCACTTCTTTTCTGTGGATTAAACCTTGGTTATTGATACAAACTTTTCACAAACTTTGGGACTTCTAAATAATGCTCTCTAGACTGCAGTTGGCCATACGAAACAACGCAAAGACCGACTATGCTATAACATACCATTACTATTACCCTCATACATTTATCTGGTCCCAATTTTCAAAGTGAGCAAGCGTGCTTACACAGAATTTTAAAATTTATAATTGAAAACACAACAACAGTATATACAAGCAAAAAATGCCCGTTTTGTTTGTTGTTGTTCTGTGCGACAAAATACGAATTTATATATATCTGTTATTTCTTGCAAAAGTGTAACTCTAACACCTGTAATTCATGTGTAAGTGTATCATTAGTAATGAATGTGCATTTTTTTTGAAAGGTTGTTCTAATATGAGTTATGATGAAAATCGTCTCACATTTTAGGTACATTAATTTTGATAGTATGTTTTACGTGACACTTTGATACTTGAAAATGCTTGCGTGGTGAAGTAAATTTGAACAAACATAGATAACAAATATATCCAAGTAGGAGAACCTAATACCGATAATATTTTTTTATCATTTACATGCCAAGTAAAAAAAACTGTACATTTTGTGACGAAGGCGATAAACGGAGTGGATATATTGGTAAGTATAAATTAGTTTTTATTCTCGATGACAACGCGACACTTTGAAAAAAATAAATCAGTTTATAATTTGTCCTTTTACCCAGTATTTCTTTAAAACGAGTCTTTAATAATAATGTGGTGAAAATAAATTTGAGCAGTCTATTCAAATATTAAAGGGTTTTGAATATCATATGAAAATTGACACCAACAGTTTAGGGCCTGATCAAACTGCAAGTAAGTACAGGCTGGTCTAAATCTATACTGTTGGCATACGCATAATCACTCTCGGTTCCATCTCTTTTTAGATATGTTGCTTCTATTATATCTCTTGGTCGGGACAACACAGGCTGTTTCCACATCAGAGGTAAGTAAATTTGTAAATCTTATATCTAAATGAGGATACGCAAAAAAGTTGACACACAACAACTTAAATGATAAATTCGATATAAAATGCCTAAATATATCCTTAGTAATATTTATGCTTAAAGGATTTCATAAGAGAAATATTTCAGATTTTATCAATGAAACATTAGTTTGATTTCCCAATATCCTGAATTTCCTTGTAACAAAACGATATTATTTTTTTAATGTCACCAAATATGTAGACTGATGTGGATAGCCTGACCTCAGACTTGAAAGGATGTCTGATCGGAAATCCGTCGGCGATCAAATCGTGTAGTAATAAGGATGGTATTCCTGTTGATATTACGGAATTTAGTCTTCTACAAAAGGGCAATATCTGCATCTTTGAACATGAAGAATATCCGGTTGTTTGTCAGAATGGAATGATTACTCTCACAGCGGGTGGTAATTTTACAAAAGAAGGTAAAATAGGAACTTTTGCCAGCTATTGAATTTTAATATATCTAATGGCACTTTTAATAATTAGCTTAATGTCTTTGGTAAAGAAATAAAAATAGATACTTATTTCACCATCTAATTTGACATTTAAATCTGTTGCAATGTCAAAACTTTCACAAAAAGACTATTTAATTTTAAATTCTTCCGTTTCAGGATTTGTCTATAGTGATACCAGCAGGTGTCATATGATATGTAACAGTTGTAAAAGTTGTTACAATCTTTATCTAAGAGATTTTTTATCTATTTGACATTTTTGGAATAACTGATTCCAACCAGTTTAGTGTTAAGGACTGAATTCTCCATAGGAAAATGCTAGGGAGCGTTGGTTATGTTGAAATAGAGAAAATAATGACCCTTAAAAAAGTCCAGAACAACACAAATGAAAATGTTGCAGGCTCGGTTTGATTGAGTCTGTTCATGGATGGTTCTGTCTAATTCAAACTATCGTCCCGCCCCCTTTGACCCTCTCAATATACTTTAATTAAAGGACATTTAATTTCATTTTGTTTTGTTATTTATTTATTCATTTATTTAGTTATGTATTTATTAATCTATTTATTTATCACACTTTCTGGGTATCTTCTATTATTTAGTCATTTCAAAATTCATAGATTGTTCATTTACTTAGGTACATACATTTTGTTTGAAACGGTATGATTTAAATGATCTTTGATATGAAATATCTTTGTCACATCCAAGTTAAACTATCTTCAATTTGTCGGCTTTTACTGGTTTTTTTTAATGGAATGGAATGGAACGGTTAGATAAATTCCAAATGATGTCTATTTTCTAGAACACATTCGCAAATTATGCATTATTTCAAAACAATAAATTGGTCTTGCATTCTAAAGCATTTGGATGGTCTGCTCCGTTCTTGGTTTCATTTGTAAAAAAACAAACGTTTAGAACATTTGTTCAAAAAATCATATGTTTACTTCTTGTTTCACCAGACAACTGAGATGTGTTGCTTTATTTATGCTCTAAGAGATAAGCTACATGACTTTTCAAGTAGAACTAACTGTCTTTGAAGTGAGACGTGTTCAAAGAAAAAAGAGGAGGTGGTGGCATGGCGCGAGACGAGTGTTTTGTCTTTTTATTTGTGGTAAGTGTTTATTATCTTTTGATGAACTTTGGACGGTTATCCATTTTTCATCTAAAACATTATTACATGTGACGCACTTACGACAATATTTGAAATATCATAATATCAAATTCATTAATATAAAACATTATCAGATCACATATTTTTCGCACAGTCGTCTCTATCAAATGTCATTATATATTTCGGGTGAGATTCTATGCATTACAAATGTTGTTTTGCAAGAGCAATAAAAAAGAGTCAGATATAATGCTTTTTAACACAATTAAAATCTTTTAATGACTAACACTTCTGCTGTAACGAAAGAATAGTGTAAATTATATTGTTAACATATACATTGATAGGCCGACACCATCACAACTCTCACTCTCACTCTGAAGCCAACTCTCACTCTGAAGCCAAATCCACCGCTGAAATCCACTACTACCCTGAAGTCCGCTACTACCCTGCAGCACAAACTAAACCAAACAGACCCCCAACGATCACTAAGCATGCAACTTTAAAGGTTGGAACACCTATATACACAACACAAGGAAGTTCAAAAGCAAAAGTTTATTGGGATGATCCAAGCATCACGGATCCAGAAGAAGGAACGTTAATGTAACCGACTTATATCCCTTTTTTCTTTATATATTTTATCGGTATACATTTCTATTGATACTTATCGCGATTTGTTTTTAAAATGGAGAATTATACGTGTTTTTTTTCCCCTTAAACATATTTTTACAAATTCATATGCTCTATACTTCTCATATGTAGATAACTAAAGGAAACAAGTCAATGTAAATTTTGTTTGTTTTTCCTCTCTAATTTGCAGGATCACTACTTCACCTAGCAAATATAGAAGTGGAGGCGAATATGCCGAAGGGACCTATGTCATATATTTCGTTGCAACAGACAGTGGAGGTCTTTCGGCAACTGATTATTTAACGTTTACAGTGAAAGGTTTAAGAACAGAAAATTATACAATTCATCTCATGTACCATTATTTTTTACATCAACACAATTGAGGAAACATTTAGATCCTTATTGTATGTAACAGAATAAGTTTGATTTTACCACTTTTACGTTATTATCCCCCCCACCAATCGGGTAAACATCCAATGGTTTTGGAAATTCATTCCGTCCATTCGTGTAAAAAACAAGTAGGAAACCACATAAACTGCAGGTTTCAGTGTTAATTTGAACTCGTTTGTGGGCAAAATTGAACATTAAGAGAAATAGCATTTTAGACCGCCTGCCCGTCACTTTCTTTGGAAAATTTGTTGAAGTCTTCAATGAGTTTGTATAAAACTGCACCCAATTGATCGAATATCATGATAGGAAGTTCTGAAGGTTCAAGAGCTGAATTATCATTGATATGTCTTTGAAACGTTAAGCAATTATCAGTTATATAGACGTGTACGAAAGAATAGTTATGTTACTTAGTTTTTGTTTACACTCCTATATCAACTAGAAATGCAGGTCTGAAATATCTTGAAAGTTTCGGAAGAATCTGATTTTAAAATTTTCTCAGGGAAAGAGATGAGAGAGAATTGCACTGTTGAAGAGCTATAATTATAACTTGCTTTATTTATTTGTTATTTTTGAATAATAATTGTCAGGAGAATATTTTCTTAACTATTAGTGATATTCCATTGCAATTTTACATAGCTCCAGACGGGGGGAGCAGTGAGAGGCAATGCAGAGTTGAAAACCTTTTTTTTTTCAATTAAATCACCTTCAATACAAATTAATGCCTGTCCGGAGAATAACGTGAACATTATTGAAAAACCAATGATGCATTTTGTACAATTTTGCTCATACAACATTTGCTTATTGATTAATATCTTTAATACTTAGAAAGTAGATTCTTTGGGATGCCCTTTACCTTTATGTGTAGAGTAGTTTTGGTTATTAATGTTAATGTGTATTTCGGAGTTATAGTATTGCTTTCTAGTGAATGTGATATTTAGGCGAAACCTAAGCCAAATTGATTTCAAATTATTGTTTAAAATGGTCAAAGACTAATATTCATATATCATGTAGCCGCACATTAACTGGAAAATATCTTTTAAAGTATCTAGATGCGGATATTTGCGATGGCCAGAAAACGGCAACCTGAATTGTAATAGTACAGACATAATATCAGGAACGATCTGCAATGTATCCTGTAAACCAGGTTTCCATCTTAGAGGTGCTAGTGATATGGTATGTCAACAAAACGGAAACTGGCAACCTAGAAGCATACCTGATTGTGAACGTAAGTCAGCGTTAACGTTATACTAAATTCCATTTGTATTTTATATATCTGTCCGCCATAATCAGTGCAAGATATAACTAAATAAATCTGATATTGATTGAGCCTTAGAAAGAAAAGAATGAAGACTTACAATATTTACCGTACCAGGATAAAATATACAGTGCTATCATGAAGAAATACTGTCATACCTTTCCTTTACAAAATTTTCATGATTTATCTTGCGTAAATAAGAAAGACTTATTATGAAAAGGGTAAACATTCTATTTGTTCTATTAATCTTACTAAATAGGTAAGCTTAATATATTTTTTTTTCTCACCAAATTATAACTATATATAACTATCACCTAAGAATGTAATATAGCCGTTTTCCATTATGTATTTGTATATGTTTATGCATGTATACTGCGGATGTTTCACGCTATTGTGGGACTTGTGCATTTTGTAAATAAAAATAGAAAAAAAAATTGAATAATAGGTATACTGATGAATCATATTGTTCAACACAACTTCTTGGCAACAAACAATGACCAATTTACCAATGTCAAAATGATAAATGAGCACATTAGCCAATATCTTAAATTGAAAATTTCCGATGATAATATCAATTATATTATTGCCAATTCAACCGAGCCTGATGAAACGAAGAGTTGTTAGTAGCATGCATAACAAAAAAAAATTAATTTTGTTTTTGTTATTTTATTCTTTTTCACTTTTCCAGCAATACAGTGCACAGGGTTACCAAACATAACAAATGGAAGAATTAGTTGTTTCCATAATAAAATGATTTACGATAATATTTGTGAAGTTATTTGTGACGAAGGCTTTCGTGCGATAGGAACTCATTTGATTAGTTGTAATACTGAAGGCCAGTGGGGAGCTTTGCCTACATGTAAAGGTATGTTCCTTTCTTTTATTTTTATTGTTATTGCGACTTTTGTGTTTTAATAAGTCATGGGAAATCGTTCACTTCTTATTCATGAAGTAGATATACTCCGGATTCTTTAATTTGACAAGACTAGAAAGCTATGGGGGATTTACAAGTTACTGACATAGCTGCAGCAGTCTAATAGGCTTATGTGTAAAAAGTATTTGTATGTATTCAGATATTCTTCCTCCAAAATTCTTAAATGGAGAGTGTCCGGATGATATGCAAGTTTTCATTGATTCAACCAATTTTACGACTGCTGTAACTTGGGATGTACCAAAAGGAACAGACAACTCAAAGGAACAAATTATAATAAAAGAAGAACATGGTTATGTCCCCGGACAGCGTTTCAAGCCAGGATCATATGTTGTAAAATACAGTATCGAAGATCAAGAACATAACAAGGGAGACTACTGTAATTTCAGAATTGAAGTTTTGTGTAAGTTGTTATGTTAAACATAAGTAATAACGACATTGACATGTTTCCTCTACTAATTTAAAATTATGGTTTTCAGAAAGGGTACTATCTTCATTTGCATTTGTAAAACGACATTTTCTTTAATAGCATCATTAAACCTTATATAATATGGACATGTGATGCAATTTGTAAAACTTATTTTTTCTTAGGTTTAGAAAAAATATCAGTTTCATAAGAACGCCACGGATGGCAAAATTGAAAATTTGGCAGGCTTGATTTCATTAAAAAAAAGTGCATGCTTGCATCCACGCCCCTAGCACCGGTTTAAACAGAATAAGAATTCAACATTTAAACATGAAAATAGTGAAATTATAAATTAGTAAAGATCCACATAATTGATTATATGACAGTTATCGTGGAACGTTCAATGTTACACGATAATGTCATTCCATGAAAAGCGGCGTATGGTCTCAATGTAAATAAGTGCGAAACATAAGATATGTTTGCAATTTCTTTAGTTGACTACATAGATAATAGGTAAAACATTTTAAAAATTAAGAATAATTGAAAACTGATTTTCAATTGAAAACTGGTAGTGTTGGCATATTTCCTAATAGTAATCAGATTTCTTTTGAATATGTCTAAAAACATGATGATTTTGCTTTCCGTTTCTTATCATTCTTATTATTTGTCAAAGCAAAAAAGATAGAAAGTTTTGTTTCAAGTATAAATTTATAAAGCCTTTGAAATATTGAAACTGTATGTTAAGAGCTGCTGCTAAAAATGTATTTTATATCATACTAATTTGAATTATAAACAAGGTAAAGACAAGCATTTTTATATCATACTAATTTAAATTATAAACAAGGTAAAGACAAGCATTTTTATATCATACTAATTTGAATTATAAACAAGGTAAAGACAAGCATTTTTATATCATACTAATTTGAATTATAAACAAGGTAAAGACAAGCATTTTTATATCATACTAATTTGAATTATAAACAAGGTAAAGACAAGCATTTTTATATAATACTAATTTAAATTATAAACAAGGTTAAGACAAGCATTTTTATATCATACTTATTTGAATTATAAACAAAGTAAAGACAAGCATTATTATTTCATACTAATTTGAATTATAAACAAGGTAAAGACAAGCATTTTAATATCATACTAATTTAAATGATAAACAAGGTATAGTCAAGCATTTTTATATCATACTAATTTGAATTATAAACAAGGTAAAGACAAGCATTTTTATATCATACTTATTTGAATAATAAACAGTGTAAAGACAAGCATTTTTATATCGTACTTATTTGAATTAGAAATAAGGTAAAGACAAGCATTTTTATATCATACTAATTTGAATTATAAACAAGGTAAAGACAAACATTTTTATATATCATACTAATTTGAATTATAAACAATGTAAAGACAAGCATTTTTATATTTGAAGCCATCAGTTGCGAACCTCCAGATTTGTTGGTGCCACATTTAGTGTATGAATGTCCAGATTCATATAGACTTGGGGCGTCTTGTTCTCTCCGTTGTAAATCTGGATATCCTTTGGGTGGTGCAAATCAAATTCATTGTCAACTTAAAACAATGAGTTATCCACCAGCAGCACACTGGAAATGGAATGATGGGAGCCTAAAACCATTTTGCAAAGGTAATCTAGTGTTTCATTCTAAACGCGTTATCAAAATGAAAAATGTAGCACGCTTGGTTTCCTCCAGTCTGCTGTAAAAATAACGCATTTAAATATTTTTGCTGATGTCATGAGACGATGAACGGTAGATTGTACTTATCACTTCCGTCCATGAACAGCTTTAAAAAAAATGGACAACATTTATTTTTTTAATATAAAGCGTTCTTTAAGGAAACCGTCGTACAATAACTTACAAATCAATTTAAGCTCAGTAGATATGTCTAGCATATAAATAATGTAAAACTAGAGATGTGTTTGGAAATACAATGCTGACAATAAACAGTTTGAGAAAATATAAAACGACTAGTCTGTATATTAAAAAAACAGGAAATAAATAGAAACATATTTCCGACGAAAATTCCGAATCTGCAAAAAAACCCGTTATTTTTCTACTTTGTGATCATGATTTCCGCAAGCTTCTATAATATAGGTAAAGCTCCAACTCTTGCGAGGATAAAATATAATTTATTAAACTCATTCAATTAATTAAGTAATTAAGCTACATGATCTCTTTATCAATATACAAAATTAGAAGTCTTTTTCATTGACACACTTATGATGTCAAGCATCTAAATGCTATGTATGACGCAAATGACGTGCAGTACCATTTTGTCGGAGACGCAAAAACGAAACGGGTATGTGATAAATGATTAATATTCTTATGATTGTACAGAAACGAATTGTTCTAGAGCTGTTCTTCATAAGCCCAAAAATGGTGCACTTGCTTGCAGTGAATGGACGCATGGTCAAATGTGTCAAATGCAATGTGAATCTGGCTATGATATACCCAACATAGGGTTTGGGTTTTTTGTATGTGGAAAATCGAATGGTCAATGGAGACCAACGAATAGTGTGCCGGATTGCAGTGGTAAACTATTGAATTTCATTTTCAGTTTTTTTAACTTCTTCATTGTTAGACGAATAAAACTCTTCCTAAATAAAGATGTTATAATGCATTCGCTTAAAATAATGTAAAAACTGTTACACCTTATTCAATTCAAAACCTACACCTTAGATACAGAGATGACAAAATCAACATAATAACAATTCTAATAGCATTCATATGATAATCCTTATCATGCTTAAAATCTTTGACGGACTTGTCCATCTTTCAATATAGGTGCAAAGTTATTAAACATTTCAGGGGAAAGAAATCAAAATATGTATAAAAAACTGTGAATAGCATGATCAGACAGCGTTGACGTGCCTTCAATGGTCGCATTGGTAGAATCAGTTTCCGCCATCAAGCTAATAGATTAAAATGAAATAGATCAATACAAATTATTCTAAGAATTATATTGAAGAAAATAAATAAACACAATTGTAATATTATAAATATCTATCAAAAATTAGCAATTTTGCTATGGATACACATGCTGTGTTATTTTACGTGTTTCATTGCAAGCTTGCCATTTACAGCTATATTAATTTATGACTTAATATTTCAGTGAAAATGGACGTCGCATATATACATCTACCTAGCAAGTTTTACTATTATACTGGACACTGTGACAGCTCCGTAGCAAACATGAGACAAATTAAAGATAATTTTATACAAGCTTTAAACCAATCAATGTTTTTTGAAGCTTGTCTTGGCGTTCCGGAATGCCGAGCAGAGTATGTGGGTGTCACGTGCGGTCCTATTTCCGGACGCCACAGACGCGATGTTAGTACAAACATGCATTCACTAGCATATGAAGTACAGTTTGAAATTGTAGCAACGTTTCAAAACATTGCCGGAAAAAGCACCACGGACGCTGTTTCCGAAAATAAAGAACGACTGTACAATATGTCAGACATCATCCAAAAAGAAGTTAGCAAAGGTCTCTTCGACTTAAACATAACAGACACCCATGTTAATAGCAATTCTTTCAGTCCTGGACAACCAGTTTTGAAATGTCCACCGGGAACAACACCTAGGGAGTCATCTGCGACTTGTGGTTAGTTGTTACCATATTCTTAATTTTAGTTTTGTTTTAGGAAATGTAAACTTTTAAATGACATGGCGATATTATTTATTAACACTTTTCAAAGTCAATGAAAGGTGTAAATAACAAAATGTCTTAATCGATTACAATTTGTGTTCATTTAATGATATACATGTATTTTGCATAGAATCGTACTCGTTTTCAATACCTTACTGATGAAATATGTAAATTAATATGATATCACGTATTTTGAATTCAAAATAAGGTTTTATTCTATACGTATGTTGTTTACATGATTATCAAATTAATCAATTATTTACAAGTTTTCAATATCATTTGTAGCGTTATGTTAAAAAAATGTTTTTTCTCCCCACCATGTAAAGACATGACTGTTCAAACTGAGACATTCTGAAAAATCAAACATTTTTATCAGAAAAAACATTAAGGAACCCTACTGATGATTCCGCGTAAGCACTGGCGTGGTGCCTGTACATATCCGCATTTTCTTAGTACGCACTCAACAATTAATGTCAAAAATTGCATTTAAACGAAGAAATAAATAAGGTGTTTTCTTCTAAAGTTGGATGTCCTAAAGGAAACTATATGGAAACACACGGCGTATGTGAAAAATGCCCAATTGGCACTTACCAAAACAATACTGATGCCCCAAAATGCATCCCTTGCCCTGCAAAATCAAATACAACAGAGACAGGATCCGATGATATTGGAATGTGTCTTGGTAAGACAAATTATATAATAACAATAATGATTTAAAAAGAAATTATGTAACGTTTCATTCTGCACGTATAAAAGTAATCAATTTACCAATAACATCGTAGCGTAGTTTACCAAGAAATCAAGTGTAAATGATAAAGTGAAAACATTGCAGTGTCCACATTGGTATAACAGATTCAGTTTGTCATTTATAAATTATAGATTTCATTTGTTTTATTATTAAGGGTATTGTATGGAAGGCCAGTTTTCCCAGAACGGACTTTCACCATGTATAAAATGTCCAGTAAATTCGTACCAACCTAAAATGATGTCAACACAATGTTTAAGGTGCAAGACAGGTACAATGACGTTAAAAGATGGCGCAACAGCAGCCGATCAATGCATAGGTGAGTTGTTTTAATAACGGTGTTTGTTATGACGTATTTAAATTATATTATACATGTATATACATCTAGACTAATTTTTGTGTATTTCCGCGTATCATTTTATATAAAGGGAATGGTGTTTGAAGATAACGAAAGAAAAGAACAAATTTTTTATAGAAGCAAATTTTTTATTTTTTTGTATTCTGTCATTGAAATTATTTGATTGATTCATATTATACAGTAGTTTTTAAAACCTCTATATACAGTAAATGCTTACATCAAACATTTTAGAATACGATGTACGACTAGGGGCAGGAAAAACAACACTGAGAAGAAATATTACTGCTGATACGATGACATTATACATGTGGGTTTACCCAATTAAAACAGCAAATTTTAATACAAGCCTGACGTCCGTACGATTACTTGGATCTGAAAGTTCTGGACCGTCAAAACATATTGAACTGTTCCCAGTTTCATGTTTACGACAAAATGGGCAAGTGTTTTATACATGTTTCGAAAAAATATTATTATTATTATTATTTATTTATGAATTATATATTATTTTATTATTATAATAATAGTTTTTTTTTTATCACAATATTATTTTTGTTTTATGTTTTTTGCATTCTAAATACACTGAACCTATTCTGGACTTCATCTTTAATTGATATTGGAGTATGACGTTATTATTCAATGATCTTTCAATTTAATGTTAGGGAAATTTCACATTTTGTCATTTATTTAAACATTATTATCATTTCAGTTTTAAGTATTATGAAAAAGTCTTATTTGTGTATTTAAAGTAAGCGCCAACTTGTATAAGAGTTTTAAATTAGTATTTGTCCAATATGATTGCAGTATTTCAAATGAATCGTAACACATTTACTTTGGTTAATCGGCAAACTGTGAATCAGTCTAGTAAATCGACTGCTTATCAATATATATATTATAACATTAAGCTGGTTAAAATGTTTTAATACGTACTAATAAACTTTAACCAATGCATCAGTGTAATATTATTTATCGTGTTGTTTTCACACAAAGAACTACAAAAATTTATCCATGACAGTATATAATAATATATAGTTTGATAATGGATAAATACTGGCATACTGAGTGAAATCAACACATTGTTTAACTACTGAGTCTCAATTCTAACTATAAATTGATTTAGCACATTGTTTATAAACTCAAGAACAACTAATATACATATTAACGGAACTCCACTTACGAGTTGAAATTTGTTTTTCTTTCATAGATCAGCTTGAGCACTTCAAGCAGCAAGATGTTCTGAAAGTAAAAAAAAATGAAATATACTAAAAAATAAATTACAAATCATATTTTGTGCTATTCTTAGTCCGATTCTAATGAAAAGCGTTCAATTATGATAATTGTTCTGTAAAAAACGGAGAGAACGAATGATTTGAAATTTTGCACACAAGTTATTGGTCAAACCCTACATCCAGTCGAATATTAATCTCGAAAACTATTTCCAGTACCGTCATGTTAATAAATCTCAGTGGTTTTATCCTTAATTGAATTATTAATTTTATTTTTTCAGAATCTTTCATGATAAGAATATAATTCCACTTGCGAAATGGACTAACATAGTACTTACTTTAGATATACATGCAAATGTGCTGTCCATGTATATAGATGGGAAATATGTGTGTCAAAACTCTTCCATGATGTCATCAAATTTTCAACATGTCCTAAATAAATCACTCGAATTTTATGGAGGTAAGACTACTGACAAATATATTTCAAATAATTTCTTGAAGGTAATAAAGACAAAAAAAAATGAAAAAATATATTTGACACCTTTGAATATTCCAGCTCTGTTTTACGCTGCATAACAGTGTTGATTTTTTTCTTTCGACTGTCAAAAGATTTTAAATATTTGCTTACATTTTACTTAAATTTCTTTTTTATAATTACTCAGAATAAATTAAGTAAATTGGTGTCACAAATGTAATTTTTTATTGTAAAAACCATTTTATGTTGTCTCATTTGCACAAATATCCGGAGAAGGGTCATGAATTACAAACAAGATCTACGAATTATCGTTTTGTTTTTGAAAAAAGAAATACAACAGAACAACAAAATTTACAACTATTTACACATGATTAATAATTTGTTATAAATTTTTCTTTGATAAATAGTCAGTTATGGTCTGAAAAATGAAACCAGAAATTAAGTTCATAAAGAATTGTAGTGTACACTCAGAGGCACTTATAACCAGACACGTATATATTGGTATAACTTGGTTATTTGTGAAAAAATTTTGCTCAGTTTTTGAACATACAAATTTCAACATATCATACTTATTTCCTAGAATTTTACTTCAAATTCATTAACAAGAAAATACAGAAAAAAAGAAAAACAAATATATTACTGCAAAATGAAAAATCACAAAATGACTGTAAATATCGTAACACTACAAAAAGTCTCTAAATCCAACTGTTTCTGTATAATAACCAGTTCTTATACATTCTGTGTCATCCCATGACTATAACAAAGTGTAAACACCTGTCTCATGGTTATGACATAGTGAAGGCTTGAGAATATTTCTCCATTCTGGAATATGGGCTTCCTCTAGTTCCAGCAACTCCTGCATTCCAAGATACCAGATCTAAACATTACACTTGTCGGCTGAATTGAACAGGCGTGTGACAAAGCGGCCAAAAGCTCCTCGCAAATTGCTGGAACACGAGCAAGCCTTTATTTAGGAATAGAGAACTGTGAGGCAGAGGAGTTTACTTTGTTATAGCCGATTGGGAGGACATACAAAGTGTAAGAACTGGTAAACATACAGATTTAATGGGATAAAGAGACTGTTCATTGTGTTACGATTTTACAGTCATTTTGTGATTTTTCATTTTACAGTAGCCTATTTGTTTTGCTATTTTTTCTATTTTCTGATCAATGAATTGTTAATATAATTCCAAGTAGTAAGTATAATATGTTTTAATTT